TTCTTGTCATATTTATCCGATATTTTGTAATCATGATATTCGAGATTCTTTTTAATGATGGTGCAAATTTCATAACAATTGATGAATTTTTATTATCAGTGTTTTGTTTTCCAAAAACGTTGTACCACTGTGTATGTTTCTTTAATTGACGGCACATTTGCTTTTAATTGGGCGAATGTACAGGTCCCGACGCAATAAGCTTTATTTGATTTAATACACTCAAAAATAAAGTTTGCTATCGAATCGGAATGTTCATAAAACATAAACCTTGCCTTCGTTTTCCCAATTCTAAAAGCAGGCCAAATAAACTATGATAATCGTTTAACTCTCGAGACTACAGAACTTGAACTTACTAAAATCGAAGTTGCCTATAGTTACGCTTGTAAAGTTAATTACATGTTTAACGCCCTGCTGAGTGAATGTATCTAATCAAATTTGTGACATACCCATAAGATCGTAGATCACAATTCTAAGTTTAAATGTAATTTGGATTCGTAAGAAGTATTTCTATTTTAAACTTACCTTTGCTGTCTGAAAAAGATCAATATTCATAGACGGAGATGTTGAAACCTACATTTCCTTTGAATGACCTGCATTTGTACTACGAAATGATCCTGTGGAGAAAAGTTGATGAATTCCAAACAGCTAGTTCTAGCAAATCTACTAGTATAAGCTTACTTTCTTTCTTATTTCAATGTTAAAAATATCTATTCAAATGTTTCATTTTTAAAATGATCTTGGCTTCCCTTAACTTAAATGTGTGACTAATGAAGAATGCTTTTTACCACATCAAACTTAAGACGTGAACTTGACAATTACTCGTGTTATAACGCGATTTTCTTTCATTTTCTACAAAAATGGTATGATTTCGAACGGTCACTTATGTAAATCTATCACCGTGGTATGATTGAAAATGAAAGAACTGAACCAAGTATTGTCGACTTGTTTGAATTATAAGATTTATTTTGATTGATTTAACCTCTTCTTGAATTTTAAAACTTTTGTCCGAATTACATCTGCTATGGAATTAAAGTTCAAATATACCTCAGAATTGCTTATTGAATTAACCTAGCAATTAATTTGAAAATAATTCTTATCATAGGTTATATATCATAGATCATAGATATGTAAAAAATAAAAATGTGTTTTGAAAGATGAATTGATAACAAACGTTTTCGCACACTTGCCATTTCCACTTTCAGCCCACTTAAAGCACGAAATCCCGTATGACGTAATATAACGAAAATGCTCAGATAATTGGTATTTTTTATTTTAATTCAACTAACATTGACCGTTCAGTTATGAACGTGTTTAAAGTTCTCATGTTAAAATAAATAAATATGTGGAAAGGCAATGGTTTAAAGCTTATGAAAATGTCAAAATCATAATTCAGTTTTTAAAATAAGATATTGACATATGCATTCACGCACATTTGACATTATCTCTTTTTGTGCGATTCAAACATAAAAATCTCATTACAGTTGTACATAAGAACCAATCTTAGTCATGCCTTTCTAATAAAGGAACTAAATTTGAATCAAAAAATAATTCTGTGTAAAGATGATTCCCCATAGATATAATAAATGTCAAAAAATGTCAAAGAAATTATCAAAAATCAAATACTCACACGCTTTTAAGCACACATGACCTTTTCCAGTTTTGCTCATTTAATTTACCTTGAAAACCAAGGAGACCGAACTCAATTTCTAAATACAACCTTGATACGTGTACCAGGTTTATAATTGCATTTTCTCATGGAAGGAATCAAGCAAAAATTATAAAAATAATTCTGCGTAGAGGTGATGCTTCACAAACAATATTAATGTAAAAAAATTAATTCATTTCTTCAAAATTAAATACTGACACGCATTTACGCACACATGACCTTTTCCAGTTTTGCATATTTCATTGACCTTGAAAACCAATGAGACTGGACGCAATTGCCAAATATTTCGTTGATACGCGTGCCAGGTCTATAATTGCATTTTCTCATGGAAGGAATCAAGCAAAATTTATAAAAATAATTCTATGTTAAGGTGATGCTTCACAAATAATATTAATGTCAAAAAATTAATTCATTTCTTCAAAATTAAATACTGACACGCATTTACGCACACATGGCCTTTTCCAGTTTTTCTTATTTCAACTACCTTGAAAATCAATGAGACTGGACGCAATTGCCAAATACTTCTTTGATACGCGTGCCAGGTCTATAATTGCATTTTCTCATGGAAGGAATCAAGCAAAAATTATAAAAATAATTCTATGTCAAGGTGATGCTTCACAAATAATATTTATGTCAAAAAATTAATTCATTTCTTCAAAATTAAATACTGACACGCATTTACGCACACATGACCTTTTCCAGTTTTGCTTATTTCATTTACCTTGAAAACCAATATGAGACTGGACGAAATTGCCAAATACTTCTTTGATATGCGTGCCAGGTCTATAATTGCATTTTCTCATGGAAGGAATCAAGCAAAAATTATAAAAATAATTCTATGTTAAGGTGATGCTTCACAAATAATATTAATGTCAAAACTTTAATTCATTTCTTCAAATCCAAATACTGACACGCATTTACGCACACATGACTTTTTCCAGTTTTGCTTATTTCATTTACCTTGAAAACCAATATGAGACTGGACGAAATTGCCAAATACTTCTTTGATACGCGTGCCAGGTCTATAATTGCATTTTCTCATGGAAGGAATCAAGCAAAAATTATAAAAATAATTCTATGTTAAGGTGATGCTTCACAAATAATATTAATGTCAAAAGTTTAATTCATTTCTTCAAATCCAAATACTGACACGCATTTACGCACACATGACCTTTTCCAGTTTTGCTTATTTCATTTACCTTGAAAACCAATATGAGACTGGACGAAATTGCCAAATCTTCTTTGATACGCGTGCCAGGTCTATAATTGCATTTTCTCATGGAAGGAATCAAGCAAAAATTATAAAAATAATTCTATGTTAAGGTGATGCTTCACAAATAATATTAATGTCAAAACTTTAATTCATTTCTTCAAATCCAAATACTGACACGCTTTTGCGCACACGTGGCCTTTTCTTCTTTTGCTCATTTTATTTATCCTCAAAATCAGTGGGCCTAAATACATTGTCCGATACTTCTTTAATACGTGTCAGGTCTAAAATCGCAGTTTATCATGAAAGAAATCGAACAATTATCATAAAATAATTATGTGTAAAGGTGATGTTCTTCAGATTATATAAACATCAAAATTGTAATTCATTTGTTGAAGGTTAAATATCCACATGCTTAGGCACACATAACCTTTTCCCTTTTGTTCATTTTATCTATCTTTAAAATCAGTGAGCCTGAACTCAATGCTAAATACTTTTTGATACGAGTCAGCTCCAGGTCTAAAATTGCATTTCATCATGGAGCAAATCGAGCAATCATTATAAAAATAATTCTGTGTAAAGGTGATGTTCCAAAGACAATATATATGTCAATTTGATAATTCAGTTACTCAAAATGAAATATCCACATGATTTTACGCACACATGATAATTTCCTGAATGACGCTACTTTTTGGATTCAACCATGCATATAACGTCGTAAAATACACATTTCTACCGAAATTATGCCCAGCCGTTTTCGTAGAAAATGTAACAAATGAAGGCATTTTATCGGAACTGATTGATATTTGGTACTTATAGAATATCGTATTTACTTTAACTTTTAAGCGATTCAGACATTTAAAAAAATTATGTTTAATCAATGTTAATTTCGCACGAATATAGGGTACAAAATGAGTGAAAGTCCCACGTGTTTGATTGCATTTTACTCCCATTTATGTGCATTTTTCTAGTTTAGTTGGAAAGAAGAGATCAGTAGAATTCTATCCGTCAATTTCATTTTCAAATGTTTAAATGTTTACCGTTTCATTGGACCTCATAAAGATGGTAGCCAACGGACCAGAAACAAGTAGTGCGATGACGTCATATATCGCTACACCACTTTGATATAAAGTTTGGTAAACAACAATGGGTTTTTTCAATGTGCCGTCCTACTGTATACGTATACGTATAAGTTGTACTTTCACTTATGTGCGAAATCTCTCTATTAATACAGAAAACTCCCCTATGACTCTTGGTTCAAAAGCTCGCATATTTTCAAAATGGTCGCCATCTTTGTCTTTCGAAATTCAATTTTCGCCCATTTCCTAGCTTGAATAATTTCGGGTGTTCTGCGTTGTAAAAAGCCATGTCACTGTAGTTGTTTGAAATAATTTTGTTTCAAAAAATCGGCAAAAAATTATATCTGTTTTTCATTTTCTGCCACTTAGCCATCATTCACTTTTGAGCAACACCATGTGAGCCCAGTACCCACGGTATTATTCTTGTCATATTGAATGTATATAGTTTTTACAAGCTTGACGTTGAAGTGAGAAATCAAACATTACGTATATTCTTAAAAAGAGGACGACATGATTTTAAAAGGCAGCTCAGAATGGTGAAAAACTGCATGATTTTGAAATAATTTCTGGACATGGGGGAGCGACTGCCCCCCCCCCCCTGGCTGCGAGCCTGCATATTTCTTTTTAATTGAATAAAAATACAATAAGATCTATGATGTTTTCTTTATCTAGATTCCCCATGAACGGCATTCCCCCCCCCCATCCTCTAAACGAAAAACAAATTCATTTTTCAGTCAGCATCACTTCTAACAATTCCAACAAAATATTCCTTTTTCAAAAAGTTTAAAAACATTTTATTTACATTCTGGGAGAGTCCGTTAGACCTATGATTTTAAATTCAATATAAAATCAATATCTTTGCCTCTACATTTAACGCTTAAATTTATAAGCTGTATTGTTCAATCAATTCTCCTACATACTGTATACTGCCTACTCAAATGGTTAAATCAATACTTTGTATTATACCTAACAGGATTATCCTTCACAGCATGAAAAATTGAAGAAAATGGACTAAGAATTTAGGTAATAGCCTTGAGCTGCGATTTTGGATTAAGACTAATAGGTCTTCCAAGGTTTTTGGTCCATTGTAAGACACTCCAGCTGTCGAGCTAAACAATGGATGATTATTGCTACTTTAAAGGGGTCAATTAAGAGCCATTCAAATTAAAGAGAGAAACATATGTAATCTCATGATCATAAAAATGGAGGCATCTGCTCAAAGATGTGAGATTGATGTTTAGGGCTGCATAAAAAGCATGCTGATAATGAAATCCCAGAGAGTAGAAGTAAACGTTGCCATTGAAAATTGTGATAAAAACAGATGAGGATTAATACATATAATTTAAAGTGAATCTATATCAGATACACACAGGTAAAGAAAACTGAAATATTCAATATCAACTCAAATGTCAGCTTTCTAATTGATTTGCATTTCAAAAATGTTTTTCATTTGAATGATCCTTTTGTGGCTATTTCATTTATTAATTAACATGTTCATAAACAAGATGGCGAACTACATGCTTTAATATCAAACTGATGGAAACTCAAACTATTTCAAATTTCCATGACTTAGAAATGACAAGATTTCAACCAGGTATCTGTTTAGGTACAGTAGTTGTTTTCATTTTGGAATATAATGTTCAAATTTTTGCTTGGTTCATCATCTTCAAATTAATGTTTCTGTTTAATTCTGTTTTTGAATAGTATAATTCTATCCTGGGATTTTTAGAGGGATTTTTGTTATGCTTTGATGGAACACGTTTGAAGAAAAACGGTGCAGTACGAGACTCGGAATCCTTGATTTTCAAACATCCGGTAGGTCAAACATTCAAATTAACGGTCGAAGTTAGTACCGCGTGTATTTGGCATAACTGCATGGTTGGCTATCAAATAATATAACGCCCATTCCAGATATAAGCGTGCAATTGGCATTTGAAAATTTCGAAAATTAAAGTTTCCCCGATTTGTTTGAAAATGATACATGTGAATGTACAATATCTTGGGAGGCAGAATTCAAAAAATTGGCAATTAATCATTAACATTATTGATTTTAACAATGGTTGAACTATGGTACCCCTTTATTTGAAAAAGTCAACATGTTATGTACGTATCTATGTTTTATTCGAGATTAGGGTACTATATCGCAATTGGGGATATAGCAAATCGGATAATGCATCCATTTTTTATTTTTACTATGGTTTTCTAGTAACTGTACACATGAATATTTTTCCTCAATGCCTTTTATATTTTTAAACCAAACGTTAGTTTTCATTAACTATAAAATGAAATTTTTCATTTATGGAACTTCTAAAAAATACAATATCTTTGATTATGCCTTAGTCAATAACAAGGAAATCATGTTATCCAATTTTCTTTTTAAATGTAGTCTGAAGATCTTTTTGTTAGACACAAATTCCTTCGTACTGTATACATAGTCACGGTTAAGTCACAACTGTCCCCGAAATCAAATACTGAATAATAACGTACAAAACTATGATTTCTTATCAGACGACATTGGTGGTTTATGATACAAAAAATGAATTAACACTATCGGACAGGTACAATCTCATTCAATAACGCACTGACCTATAATATAGACAGCAATTTTCATAAACTTTTGATTGTTCTAAGATTATAACGTAAAAGTATAACGTACATAACTTTAATATCACATCAGTTTAAGTGATCTCATTTTATGAACTAGTTGATATGATCATCACTCAATAGCTTTTCTCACTTGTGTTGATATTAACTCGTTGACTAAATGATATCACTCAGAATGTTGTGATATTGCATAATATATAAATTTAAGCTGCACTTCCAGCATTGACAATGTCAAACAAGAACTAGTCACGTTAATTAGTCTCTTTATTCGTACTCATCATCTGTACGATATAGGTTACATATCACCAGCCGTTATTTTCAACATCCGACCAAATTTGCCTCCAGCTCATTGCTCGACATTTATTTCACAAAGCACTCGGGTTTTGACCACCCATTTAATATCTTCTTAATCTGGCCAATGGAAAAACTGTTAATCATCTCTGTCATCAATTTAACTTTCTCATCTTCAACATCATGATCAGTTTCATCATAGTTCATTGTATTGAATGATATACCGGTTTTCATCATATATTTCGGTAACGAAATCATCAAATTAGCAATCTGAATCTGTTTGAGCAGATGAATGACATCAACGACGTCGGTTATATTATTGGCAGCCCTTAGGAGTTTTGTTATCGTCAATTTGTCATTGTAATCATCCTGTTTGCCAACGTCACAACATGTTATATTACTTACTACCCTTACTGCAGAATTGTTTGGATCTTTGAATTTGGGTATTAGAGTGTCAATAAAACGAGACAGAGTACAAGTAGTTGTGGACTTTCTTCGGAAACTAGTATCTCAAAATGTTTGTGCTTCAGTTCCGTCTTCTTTCCAATATAACAGTTGGAAAAGAGTCAATCCGGGCAGATGGTTCCAGTTCGGATCCTTTTACTTCTGTAGATTTGGGAGAGTTTTCATCATTACAAACATTCTGTCGTCTTTCAAAATGTTCTTCATGTGCTTTAACTCACTTTAATACTGATGCCTTATTCTTTCCACGTGTCAAATTCAACTCAAGTGTTGGAAAATTCAAGAGAACAAATTTCTCTTGTTCAACTTCCACAATTTGCAATATTCTCTGTACCTTGTTTCTCCTGTACCTTTATTTGTTTCCATTGTCCAAATTTGAACGAAAGCTGTATCTTGTCTTGAATTTCTTGAATTGTTGGTCCAAGTTCATTTTTGACAAATGTTTCCAGATTTACTGGTACATCAATGTTGATCTTCCATAATGCTTTGAGGATTAGGGTCGTGTTCTGATGTCAAATACATACGATTTAGGAATGACACAAGTTAAACTATATTTTGGCCTCATACTATAGAAAATATAGTTATTTTGACATCATTGGGGTTTTCTGCGCAGACAGAATTTCAAGTATAGATTTTATTTAAAAATATTCCATTCAAATATGGCAGCAGGAAGAGGTAACATAAAATTGTTATGTACGTTATCAATTCGAACGTACATAACCAGACAATTTTTCGTAGTATAGAATCAAACAGTGCCAATTTACTCTGTGTACCAATTAAACAACTTAGTCTGTAAGTAATTGGTACCTATATAATCTCAAACTATTCATCAATAAATTTTCGACAAGACTGTCATCTTGGAGAGGCTGTTTATCCATCTATTTCTACGTATTTATGCTTAATACCCATTTTAAATTTACATAATTTACTGGCTGGCATTGTGGCGAATTCAAATAACCCGCGTGTACAATTTTGAATTGAGCTAGCCCTGAATTCTGGGCTTAGATTCGTAAAATCTAGTACATAACAATGCCGTACATAACGATACCGTACATAACAATATTGCTTATAAATCCATGTATGCTAAAAACAAAGAATTTCAGATTCGGTTCAAAATGCGCTATAAGATGCTTAGAGACTATGTTAACATACCAGCGTAGCAAAAATGCCAACAGTTCCAGTTCTTTTCTGTAATACCAATAACGTACGTAACATTCTTAACCATACGCTTGAGAAATGGATCATTAATTGATTATATTTTGAAAATCTGATTATATTCTCGTAAACAACTTATTTATGTTGTTTGGCATACCAAGTGTAAGTATTATGTTATGTAAATTAACAAGATAATTGGTCATTTTAGGATAGCAATTAATTTATTGAACCATAGGGGTACTCATTCTAAAAAGTTGGCGACACTACTTTAAAGGTCTCTAGAAATTGTACGAAACATTCAAATTCAATGAAATTTTCACAAAACCTTTATTTTATGCAATTTTCGATCAAAACATATGAACGATGCTCTTATCATTGATAATTTGGCAGAATAATAAATGGAAACATGGGATTCACGATCTGGCGACAATAACGTACACAACGTTTTAGCATATATTTGGGATTTTAAAAAATATGTCCGAATACATATTCCTGAATATCAAGTGTGGTTAAGGTAGACAACAACCCAAACTTCAAAAATAACAAATTAATTTTATTTTTGTACCCGCTGTTAAGGAGATTATAGCCGGCGACTCAATTGCACGCTTATATCTGGAATGAGCGATAAATGCTAATTTGCTGTTTATTGATGACTGTGTATTTGACGGTATTCCAGGGAAGAAGTGCCCCGAGTCGTGTGATACTATAAATATAAAGCTAAAATACTATTTATAGATTATTTGATGCAAGCACAGCACATAGTCTGTAGTAATATTGGGAAACATAGTTTATGTAGTTGAGGGTATAATATTGATTCTCTTTACCTTTGGCTAATTTCAGGTGATTTGAATTCTGGAAATCTGCTTAACCACCTGACAGGTAATTAGCAGACGACAACAAGGACACATAATGATGTTGGAAAGTTGCCAGCGAATGTCTTAATTTGGTCTACTGTTATGTTAGGATTATACACTAAACAAAGAAAGATGATTTTTGTTATTAAGGTCTTCCAGCAAATATCGCAAGATAGACTTGTTTGATTCAAGCACATGAAAACACGCAATTGAAAATAAAGCAGTGTCAAGCTTTTCTAGCAAAAAACCTATGCTTATTGTTCATTATTGGGTCAATTTGTGAACAGTGATTTTATAGAACAGACTGTTGGAAGGAAATGAAGCACATTGGAGGTGAATATTAGCTAATGTGTAATATATAAAAAGTGACAATGTCAATGGAACAGAAAAATGGACGAATCATTCGTCACTTGGCTCACCAGTTATTAAAACCGGAAGAATGTAAGATTTTAAAGACAGCTCTAAAACATTTCCGTTATACTGGATCTGTGCCATTTTTATGTACATCTTTAAAACCACTGATCCGAACACCAGAGCATCTATTATTACTGGTAGAGTTAAGTTTCATGCTCCCAACATCACTCCAAGATGATTTCAACAAGCTCTGCAGCATACAATACGATAACTATGAAAGAGTCTTCAGTTCTTTTACACTGAACAATAAAAACCACAACCCTGAAATAATTGCTCAGGATTCCAGTGGACTTATGACAATTGTCGCTACGGGTCATGACAAGAAATTACTAATACATGAACCCATTGAATGCACTCCTTTAGAAGATATTAGAGTTGGGGAAAAACCTGTTGAGACTGAAAATAAATTTTCAGATGTGAATATTGAGAATCTACCTCCTCTACTAACTCTGCGTGAAGATACCGAATCATCCTTAGATGAAGCAGAAAATGGGAATAAGGACACACGGAAGCCTTCAGTATTTGATGTTTTAAAATCTGCCGTCAAACGATCAGACTCAAAAGCCGCACCAGAAATCTCCAAGCCAAAAACATGGAATTTTCAGGATACAATAAGGTCTCAGTCCAGGGACGTTTCTCTCTTAGATCTTGAAGCCTTGAGGAAATCTTTGGAATGTCTCCCTAGTAACAACAAGAATCAGGCATCCATGGACAAAAATGTGAATCACATTAAGAATGCAAAACTAAAAAATGTGAAAGAACATAATGTGAAACCAACATCAAGTTCAAGAACATCCACATCAGATGCCGTGGCACCTTCCGAGCTTTCAATCCCAACTCCAAGGGATGAGGATGTTAATACAAAATCTGACATTAAAAAGGTTGTGTTGTCATGGCACCCTGGTGAAAGCTTGGGATTTTCTATTCGAGGTGGTCGTGATCTTGGTACAGGAATCTACATCTCAAGCATCGATAGCGGAGGATATGCACAAAGAAAGGTATTACCAGCTTTTGTTGGAGTAATCATCTTCTCATGTGGGAGAATCCCTTTCTCCCGAAGAAGAAAGTTGTTGCCTTCTCACTTAAAAATACTTCATGCAAACTGATATTTAAGAACTGATTTATTCAGTTATAATTGTGTAAGTCTGTGGTCTTTCAGTAACATTCAGTAAATTGAAGTTCTTCATCTTTCTGTGAGTGGCAAGTTTCTTATGAAATGAATTGTCGTAAAACAAATCAAGAACATATGGTGAACTATATTTCATAAAGTCATTTATTTACTCATTATTGTCAAGAAATTAATAATTCATCGCTTGCTTTTACCTTCATGTGCATTATTAGAAGGACTTTTGCGAGAATGAATAATCAATTACAAAATCATTAAGTTGGGGTTTCAATAAAATCTTAATTAAATTGATTATTATCTGAGGGAGGTTAATGCTTAGAATGTATTCTTTCCTAGCAGACATTGCCCTTCTGTGAAATTGTGTGCAATATTAAGATTTTCACCAGAGTTTGCGTGCAAAAAAATTAGCCAACACATCAAAATGTGTGAGAATTAAAAAATCAAAGATGCACGACACCTGCGTCTATTTTCAGGGCCTTAGAGTTGGAGACAGAATCCTTCGTGTGAATAATGAAAGTTTCCGGTTTACAACGCATGAAGAAGCTGTTGCTAAAATTAGAGATAGTTATTCACTTACTCTCTATGTGTCTTCAGCCTATGCTCACAAGATGCCAGGTAAATTTCATCAAGAGCTCTTGCAAGATTTAGATAAAGAAGGACATTGGTACAGAATATCAGATGCCTGGTTTGACCAAGTCCATAATACTATGCATTTACCGTGACACCAGATGTTGAATCATTTATGAATGCATGATAAACTATTTTTCCAGAATGGATTCTCTTAAAAAGATGCAACAAATAGATTGGTTTAATCCTGAGATAAAATGTATCATCATGCTGTTATGGATGATATATTCACGATTATTGTCTCATTAATCTAATTTTGTCTAACATACAGCACGTTGACCAAGTGTTAACAGTGGAAATTGGCCCGATAGTGTCTTTTCAAACTCTTTAGACGTGTTTATTGAAAATTTGAGAGATGGGTTGATAAATTTGGTTATGAGATTGCTTTCAATTGACTTTATGTAAAAGTATTATATTGCTTTCCATACTATATATCCTAACTTCAGGTATCCGTAAACGTGTTATTTGCACGAATCGTATGCTATATAGTCTTGTTATATCGGGAAGTAAGGGATTCTGTCAGTGTCAGTGGCGGATCCAGGACATATTTTCTTCAAAATTTGGCCTGAAATTAAAAAATAAGGCCTTAGAAGGCCCAGTAATGACCAAAAGGCCCACTTTTTGGGGCCTTAAGGCCTTTCTTGGCCCAAAAATTTTTTGGGCCCAATTTTTTTTCTTGGCCCAACTAAGGGGGGGGGGGCCCAATGGCCCCCTCCCCAGATCCACCACTGAGTGTTACTGAGTGTCATACATATTATGCCTGAAAATCACTAGCCTGTCTTGTATTCAATGAATACATCGATTCATAAGAAAGGTACTCACAATATGTGCGAAAACCACACGTTAGAAGAGCTTAAATAAGTAGCAATTGATCGAATTATTTTTTTAGATTAAACTATTTAGACGTGTTCAAAAGATTTCGGTTAATGACGTCGACTTGTTACTTGAACGATTTAGACGTGTAGAGACATTGAGGTTTAACGATTTGGAAGTGGAAAACAGCACAATTAACATTATTTATTTCCAAAAAATGATCAGAATGTGGAAGAAGTTGTTGTCTGAGGAATACAATCTTAATTATAAATAATTAACAATAATCAAATGTACGACATAATATGTCAAAATTGATCTATGGAATCATTCCAGAATTTGATACTAAAATCAAAATGGTTAGAATCAGACATGCGAGGTTAATGCAAATGGGCTTTGCCTCGTCGCTCGTCGATTTAAAATTTGACTAGTCACATTTTTAATTGCCCCGTCGCTCATTTAAAACATGACTTGTTGCTATTTTTTAATTTGCCTCAAATAAGTTTTAAAACGTCCCCATTGGCCTTAAATCTCTTTCCCCAGTCATGAACGTTTATCAATTTATTAAAAATGAAAGGAAATGTTTACTTTGCGATGCACTAAATGCATATATATGATCACCTAATGTAAGGAATATCTCAACAATTATCCAGTGCTCAAAATCTATATTGGGTTTGCCTCTGGATTTTTAACAATTTGATTCGTTGTTATTCCCTAATTTGCCTCAGACAATGCAAATATCTGCCTCAAATTATGTTTGACACTTTCCATTTGATTTTCATTCCATCAAATAGGTATAAAACGCTACATATGCTGCTATCGTTGTATGAGTAACCTAAGATAATGCTTTAGCATTAAATTACAACATCTGATGATCTTGTCAAATCATACATCTGTCTTTTAACATCTAGCAGAAATACGAGATCGTAAGAATTTAAAAGAATTTGAAATTACAAAATATGTGAAAAGTGATGCATTACAAACACTCATCTACAAAATACTAATTGCGATTATTTTCAGAAGCACAGACAAATTATTAAGCAACAAAACGTGTGAACTGTGAACACTATAACGAGACAATTCAAAGTCATTAATTTTATCACGTCGAAAACGTTAACTGTACGATTCCAAATCGTAGACATGGTTATTATAAGACACGTCAATGACGTTATATTGTCCCTTCTCCATCGTTAACTCCACTTTCTACATTTTATGTCATTTATGGCGATTTTAAGAAATATTTACACGATCTTTAGAGTAGTGAATATTATTCCACGTTGTTGAATGAATTGTCTGTTTAAACTTAATTAAATAACACTAAATGCAAATTAGTACATATTTCTGGCAATTTTGGTATATAATTGCGATTAATATGAAGTATGATGGAATTATCCCCAAAATAGATTCGTGGGTATGAAGAAGAACATCTTGGGTAGAAGTCAAATTATGTAAGTTTGTAAAATATAGAATATTCTTAGCTTTTTGCTCCATTCTAACGAATGTCGCATCCCATGTTCTTACAAAACACGCCTACAGAGTTTGAAAAAACACGTCCGGGCCAATTTCCAGTGTTAACACTTGGTCATCGTGATACAGTATAAGGCATAGGTACGATTAGCTCTGCCTCTTATTCAACATTTTTTCATGTTGATATGGATATACAGTTTTGGGCTATGTGCTAAACTGTTTTATATCGTACTTCAAGTTCAATGTAGCCTTTCTTTGCCAGTAGTTTGATTTCTCTTTGAAAGAGAGACTTATCTATTTAGTAAAAACTAAACACTAGGCTTGGTCTTGTGATAAGTTCATTATGAAGCTGTTACAAAGGTGTTTTGTTTATGTTTACACTGGTAAATGAGTCTTTATCGAGGGATTTCATGTATTTATCGTTACAGGTAGAGTTGTTGTTGCCAAGGTGATGAAAAACCATCACAATAACAACAACAATAATGAGATACAAGATTCAACAACAGCAACACTCCAAGATATTACATCACAAACCCTCCCCACAGTATCTACAACAATTATTGATGACAACATATATGACATTGCTACCTCTAATAATGACCATATGCATCAGATCTCTAATATAAAAATCAAGTCTGAGGTCAAAGGCCATACTGAACAGGGGCTCACTGAAGGTCGAAGTCAAAGATCGGATAACAAGGAGGAATTTCAGGAGCGGTCAGAGGTGGAAGAGATTCAGAATGAAGAGTCAAGATTGATTGTAATTGATGCAGATGCTGATGGATACTTAGGATGCAGTATCAGAGGGTAAGACAAATATGCCATCATTTTGGTGACTTTGCTAATCTTTAATTATCCCAACGAACGAAGTTCGATAGGGATATGGTGAACCAAGCACTCCATCCGCCCGACTGTCTGTCCGGAATGTAACTTGAATACTAGTGGACAGTTTGCTTCAAAATTCGCGGAAATATGTACATTGGTAAATAGTTAATATTCAAAAAATTCTTTTCAAGATGGCCACCGTTTTAGAAATGGCGGGAATATTTGGCGAAAATCTTAAGTTTTTCATTTTACACCAAAGAAATGAATATTATTGTTTGAAATGTTGGTAGATTCACAACATCTATCTATGTCACATATATTCCGAGTTCAGCCTGACCCCCAGCGGCTGTGTATGGGGGGTCGGGAAAATAGGAATTTTTGTTATTTTGAGATCTTTCTGAAGTATAACTTTATTACACTCAAATAAAAGGAAATTTAGAGTAGATTATAAATATTGTACTGTTTTTCTGGTTCAGGACTCGTAAAAATTCAAAATGGCCACTTTATGTGGGATTTTGCAATAATTTCCCGATCTCTTCAAAGTATGACTACACGTATTATACTCAAATTAAAATTTTTTAGAAAATATCACAATTATGGTGTTTCTGATTCATGCTTCAGAAAATTTAAAATGGCTGCCGTGCAAGAATCCGCTACCGCTATTACTTACACTGGGGGGTATCGTGATGCAACAACACCGTGTTGTTGCATCAAGATGGCCAGACTTCCGGTGATAGATTTTCGTACGATATTTTGTTTCCCCAATTTAAATCCATTTCTAGGACGAGTTGCTCAATAACCATACACGTGCAGTTAGCGCACGATCTATATTTAAAGAAACTGTCATTAGTATACATGTACCATCACCAAGAAGCAATACGTTCACGGTTTTAGTTTCTCACTATTGATGCAACAACACCAAACCGAAGATGCAACAACACTCCTCTAGATTTGAGCAATGATGCAGCAACACCAATTAATCTCGAGAGGAACAGATTTTTAAATGCTACTATAGCTATTGCAACACCGTTACCCATTACCCATATTTGCGTTCTTCTCAAGGCATTCAAAATACACGTCCTGCGGGCGAAGATCCTTTATATGTATTTTCAAAAATTTATACTTTTAAATATTATAATGTACTGGACGTTGTTCTATAACATAGTTCAATCGCCTTTAACATGCCAAGCTTTAGTAACCCAATCTATTTTCATAAACCACTGTTCCATAGCTTGATGACCCTGACTCTAGTTAGTATCTACCCTTTGCATTCGTTTGACTTCACTTCTTAAAAGAGAGCTTCGTCTTCACTCTTTCAAACTAAAATAAACCTGTGAACTCACCGCGCCAATCAGTGTTCCTCGGCCAAATTTGACCGACGTTCTATATATGGTCATTCCTTCTGACGTCATCGTTGAGCTCGGAATTGACCAATGACATGCGCATATTTAATTAGCACGCATTTGGCGTATGTTTCTTCAAGCTCGCAGACTGATGGAAGAAAGGTCAGCGCGTAGGTCAGGAGTGATTTATTACACAAACTGTCACCGGTACCTGTCGTGGGGGCGGGGCTACTAAACTGTAATATGGTCTCTACTAGGCAGAGTGTAGTTTAACTAGACTCTGCGCGCAGGGTAGTTAGTATCATTCAAAATGGTGGATAAACATCTTTCATTCTCGGCTAAACATGACGAGCTATTGGAAATTATCTGTCATCCATCTGTGGAACAGTGATAAACTAGTAGATGTACGTTACCACTGTTTATCAAATTATAACTAAAACAATTTAACTGTGACATTCGTGAGCTTATGTTGATGGGATGATTGCTTCATCTATGATATAATATGATATGATTCTTTATTTCCTCCACTTTGGAGAGCCAACGTGTAAAAACGTCTAATTGACTTTATTGGAGAGGCCGTTTAGTTACACGTTTAATGGAAATCTTGCACGACGCACATGTAGAATTATTGCTCTCTTTGGATTCCTTCTCTCCGACTGAGTAAAAAGGTAAACAATAGTGATAAGATTAAGGGCCCAAAAAGGTAAATAGATAGGGGTACAGTTATCCCAGATATCCCGGGCCCTCGGGAAATATCATATTGTCTCTCGGAATAAAACCAATATTGAATCCCTCTCAGTAAATAACCTTTATATAATAGCATTGTATAACTGCAATATCATTAAACCAACACTCATCCTATACATCTCTTGAGAACGATGTACAACTCCTGGATAGCGTAAACTCCTGAGCAGCGTATACAACTCTTCAACTTGATATATGACATCATACTTTGGGTGGGATAACAAAGGATATACAATATACAATTGTAGACCTCTCTTGAGGTCAACTGGCAAAATTGTATGCCAATACTGTAATCTTTGAAAGTTCGGAGGTCGAGGTCAACAGTACTCTCAGGGTTTACTGTTGAGGTATACACTTTGGCCAGTTGACCGAATAGAGACGTTAACAATTGTTTGTTAGTCCGAAGAATATAATAATTTGAAGGATATAATATACAATTGTAGACCTCTCTAAAGGTCAACTGGCAAAATTGTATACCGATACTGTAAACCTTGAAAGTACTATTGATGAAGACCAGAGGTCGAGGACACTTTTGCCAGTTGACCGAAAAGAGAGGTTAACAATTGTTCTGTTAGTCCAAATAATATAATAATTGGACGAATATATAATCGAATATCACGTTGATAAGTAAAGGTATCATATTTTAGCAAAAAATCCCCAAACCGTCGAATACTTGAATTTTTTACACAACTTATTTTTTCAAAATTAAAAAAATTTCAACATTAAAAAAACAATTTTTCAAAAATAGCGTTCAACAGTACCTAGTAGTGGTCAACAGTTTACAATTGTTGACCTCCCAAGAGGTCAACCGGCAAAATTGTATACCGAGACTGTAAACCGAAAAACTACTGTTGACAGAGACCGAAGGTCGAGGTTTACAGTCGAGGTATATGATTTTGACGGTTGATCTAATGGAGAGGTCTACAATTGTTTTGTTAGTCCGAGTAAACTAATACACATATAGACGACAATCACCAATCGGCATGGCTTCATTTCACAACCTTTTCTCCGAACCACGTTAGCAATATTTTTTAGAAAATCTGGAGACAGTGCAAGTAGCTTAACTCTGTATTTGGTACATCACGGCGTACTCGTTAGTGAATTAATGTTAATTTTAAGTTTCTATTTGTATTTTTACTATACTTGTCGCCTAGTAAAGTCATTTTCATCAACGTATACAAAATGTCCGTCTTCCATGTTTTTTGTGACGTCATGAAACTTTTTTTCAGAAGTAGCGGTCAACAGTACCTAGTAGCGGTCAACAGTACATAATTTTGACCGCTAATCAACCAATCATAATCGAGTATTTCAGTTGAGGTACTAACAATACATTTTGTTGACCGCTCATCAACCAATCAGAATTGAGTATTTCAATTAAGGTACTAACATGACTAACAACACAAAATGACTGATATCTGTTGTCTTTCCAAAATTATATTAGTTATTTGTAAACAATTTCCATACGGTAAATCAAGGGCATTTAGTTTTGAAAATGTATAATCTTTATTTTTCAGATACAATATCAATGAGATTGCCTCCCGGGGATTCAGTACTTTATTTAGTTTGCCTTGTATATCCTTTTAACTTTGATATAGACAAAGAAACCAAACAAAATACGTTTCGTTCATGGACCACTGACTCACGCGTTTTATTCATGTCCCGACCTACATTTTGTACACCTGTAAACAGAACATAAAACAGTTTCTCTTGTTGTTCAATGATACATTATACATGTATTGGCGTTTTTGCATCAGCACATTGGTGTTGTTGCATCATCGATAAGAAACAGAGTGGTGTTGTTGCATCAATAGTGAGGAATTAAAACCACGAATTTATCGCTTCTTGATGATGCTACATGTATACCAATGACAGTTTTTTAAAATATAGATCATGCGCTAACTGCATGTGTATGATTATTGAGCAACTCGTCCTAGAAATGGGTGTAAATTGGGAAAACAAAACATCGTATGAAAATCTATCACCGGAAGTCTGGCCATCTTGATGCAACAACACGGTGTTGTTGCATCACGATACCCCCCAGTGACTTAGAGATCTCTTCAAAGTATGGTTACACTATACTACATTGATCTCAAATATTGTATTGAATTGTGCCTTTGAAACTCCTCAGTGGTTACCCAAATGCTTAATTGGAAATTCTAATATATCTCTGATGTATCACTTTTAATATCTGCCAATAGAGTCTTTTCCATATAGCTTGGAAATCTTGTAGAATCTCGTTTTTAATGAGATTTTAGGAGATATGCATATTTAACCATTAAAGACCAACATTTCCTTCCTTTTGATGGCATATTTGAATTCTGTGTGTAATTTTGTATCAAAACAACTTTGATTTGTACAGTTTTTACCTTAATTCAAATTCTAAAGATTTTCAATTTTTCTGAAAACGGTCGGGCCAAATCCCCATTGAAACAATGTTGAAAAACCTTTAAAAGTTCATTTACTCTTAAAGGGATCTCAATTTTAATGTGAAATCACAATCCACATGTCAATAAGATCATATAGTTAGATTCCGATGGTGTTTTTAGTGCATTATACCGACGTGCATTGTGCCGAAAGGCGTTGTACCGAATGCCATAATATACCCTGCGTGTAGAGTCTAGTTAAACTACAGACTAAAGACGAAGCTCTCATTTAAGAAGTGAGGTCAAACGAATGCAACGGGTAGCCATAATACTGACGCACATTGTAAAGTTTTCCTGCGTGTATCTATCTGCGGTGTAACTTTTAAAAGACAATGCAAGCGCAACTTAATTGATAGACAAATTAGCGACCGAACACGTACTTAAAGTTTATTTGGAGTAAAATATCAGACAGTTTTTCAGTTTTTTGATACATGATATTCATTAATTAGAAATGACGAAAATCTTTACAAAC